ACATAGTGAAATCTTGTCTCCAAAAAAAATACAAAAATCAGCTGGGTATGGTGGCGTGTCCTGTAGTCCCAGCTACTTGGGAGGTTTAGGTAGGAGAATTGCTTGAGCCTGCGAGGTTGAGGCTGCAGTAAGCCGTGATTCTGGCACTGTACTCCAGCCCGGGTGACAGAGCCAGACCCTGTTTCAAAAAAAAAAAAAAATTAAAATTCATCATGGGAAAAATTTTTAGCATCTCAATGAAGCTTCTAAATAGCATTTCACTAAGTGATGCTGTTTATATTTTAAATTTGTAACCAAAGCCAGAAAAAAAAAAAAAAAAAAAAAAAGCCTGGAGTCTGGCCAAAAAATAAGAACCAACTTAAGTGTAGTAACTTAATTGGTAAATGTGGTCAGCCTCTGGGAACTGAAATTAAGAGGCCGTTGAAGATCCGGTTGATGTTCTGTGATTACAGATTAAGGGGCAAGAACTTCCCTCTTCCTTATTGACCCATAACCTTAAGCATAATTGCAGGTATGGAGTATAATGGTGTGTGTTTGGGGGAGTAGGAAGTAGGAGTGACATTGGAAATATTGTCACTGAATTTGGGAACTTGGATAGGTTGCTTATCTTTGGAGAGGGCTCAGCATCTTGTGAAGGTAGAATTGATGAATGGGTTATGGGATTGGCAGGAATTAACAATCAGGTGAGTTCTGGGGACACTGGTGGGGCCATGTAGTGCCACAAGGTAGGGTATAAAATAAGAGCAATGGGCTGCAGTGGCTCACACCTGTAATCCCGGCACTTTGGGAGGCCAAGGCGGATGGATCACGAGGTCAGGAGTTCAAGACCAGCCTGGTGAAACCCCTTCTTTCCTAAAAACACAAAAATTAGCCTGGTGTGGTGGCAGGTGCCTGTAATCCTAGCTACTTGGGAGGCTGAGGCAGGAGAATCACTTGAATCCAGAGGGCGGAGGTTGCAGTGGGCTGAGATTGTGTCACTGAACTCCAGCCTGGGCAACAGAGGGAGACTCCGTCTTAAAAAAAAAAAAAAAAAAAAAGAGCAGTGAAGGAAGCTGAGTGGGATCCAGTGTGCCAGGGAGTATTGTGTGCTACTTTGAGTTGCACACTCAAAGTCATCATGATGGAAGACATGAGAGTTGTAATCTCTGCATGGTAGGTGACAAAAGATTTGTCCTTTTTTTTTTTTGAGATGGAGTCTTGCTCTGTTGCCCAGTCTGGAGTGCAATGGCATGATCTCAGCTCACTGCAACCTCTGCCTCCTAGGTTTAAGCGATTCTCCTGTCTTAGCCTCCTGAGTAGTTGGGATTACAGGCACACGCCACCATATCCAGCTAATTTTTGTATTTTTCATAGAGACAGGGTTTCACCTGTTGGCCGGGCTTATCATGAACTCTTGATCTTGTCATCTGCCCATCTTGGCCTTCCAAAGTGCCAGGATTACAGGCGTGAGCCACTGTGCCTGGCCTTGTCCTTTCTTTTAAGTGTCCCTTGCAATTCTTTATCTGCTAACTTTTCCATAGTAAGCATTAATTAATTAGGGTTAATTGTTTTTGAGACAGGATCTCACAGTGTTGATGAGGTTGGAGTGCAGTGTTTCAATCCTGGTTCACTGCGGACTTGCATTCCTGGCCTAAAGTGGTCCCCCTGCCTTGGCCTCACAAAGTGTTTGGATTACAGGCATCAGCCACTGTGCCTGTCCTATTAATTTTTTAATTCGAAATGAGAATCAACTAAAGATTGACAAAAATTACTTTAGAATAGCATTGATAGATAGCGTGTCTTGGGAGAAAGGTAAGATTTAAGAAGTCAAAGACCTCTTTTCTTGATTCATATTCAAAGGGTCCTGCTCCCTCTAACCCACGTGTCCACTCCTGTGCCCTTTCTGAAATTTCCCCTGAGAGATTTGTTCCCACTGTTTGTAATATCCTGTAGTTTTTTGTAAGCCCTATAGTTTTGGAATTGAAATTCTGTGTCCCATTAGACTCAAGGTAGCATTTTAAGAAGTTCTTCAATGTGTTTTTTTTTTTTAAATGGGAATTTTTGGCTGGACAAAGTGGCTTCCACCTGAAATCCCAGCACTTTGAGAGGCCAAGGCCCAAGTTCAATACCAGCCTGGGCAACATAGTGAGACCCTGTCACTACAAAACATTAAAAAATTAGTTGGGTGTGACCTGTTGTCTCAGCTACTCAGGAGACTGAAGACGGAGGATTACTTGAGCCCAGGAGGTCAAGGCTGCAGGGGACAATGATTGCATTGCTGCATTCCAGCTTGATAACAAAGTTGAGACTCTGTGTCAAAAAAAAAAAAAAAGGACATGGTGGCTTATGCTTGTAATCCCAGCACTTTGGGAGGCTGAGGCAGGCAGATCACTTGAGCCCAGGAGTTTAAGAGCAGCCTGGCCAATAGGGCAAAACCCTGTCTCTACTAAAAATACAGAAATTAGCTGGGCATGCTTGTACACGACTATAATCCCAGCTATTCAGGAGGCTGATGCAGAAGGATCACTTGAACCCATAAGGCAGAGGTTGCAGTGAGCCATGATCGTGCCACTGCACTCCAGTCTGGGTGATAGAGCAAGATTCTGTGGCAAAAACAAAACAGACAAAAAAATTTTAAAAACCCACAATAACCCTAAGTTCCTCAACTTTTAGATACCTACCTCCCTGGGACCAGAAGCATCAAAATCGTCTTCTGATCAGGAACTGTAGTCTCCGCTACCTGGGAGACTGAAGCAGGAGAATTGCTTGAGCCTTGGCATTTGAGTCCTGCCTGAGAAATATAGCAAGACTTTGTCTTAAGAAAAAAAAAAAAAAGATTATTTTCTGTCTTGGCCACAGTCTCCCTGTCCACTAAATGATTGAGGGTGGGAATGGAAGTAGAACCAAAATAACAGGAAACTTAAAGATACCTGAGATCCATGAAAAAATGAGTCACTTTTAAAAAATCATGCTTTTTTTCTGCAACATCTTTTTAAAAATCAGATGTCTTCTCATTTATATGGACTCTAAGTAAAATGAAGATATCTTTTTAAAAGGATAAGTTTTTAGAAGTTTTATGGAAAAAAAATTTTTTTTGAAACAGGTCTGGCTCTGTCACTCAGGCTGCAGCGCAGTGGCATGATCTTGGCTCACTGAGACCTCCACCTCTCTAGCTCAAGTCTCGCTGGCTTCCCACACTGTCATTACAACTAGAACAAGGGACACGTGAAGAGTGAGTGGCCCAGCGTGGCTCAGCTGATAAGTAAAGGACATGGGCTTGGACCCAGGACTTCTGGCTGCTGCATGCATGTGTCCCTCTCCCTACAGCTTGAAGGTGGCTACGGAAGTGAGACTGGAGGACTTCTTGGAAAAAGAAACTTGGTTATCAGTATAGTGGGAGAAGAGCAAATGCTTATGAATACTGCACCTGTGCTTTAAAAGCCACCATGAGCTGGGTGTTGTGGCTCACGTCTGTAATCCCAGCACTTTGGGAGGCTGAGGCAGTTGGATCACTTGAGGTCAGGAGTTCGAGACCAGCTTGGCCAACATGACAAAATCCCATCTCTACTAAAAAGAAAAAAAATTAGCTGAACCCAGGAGGTAGAGGTTGCAGTGGGCCGAGATTGTGCCAGCCTGGACGACAGAGCAAGGAAAACAAAGGAACAACAACAAAGAAAAACAAGAAAACACCGTGACCCAGAGAAAGAAAAAAATGAAGTTCCCAAATGGAAAAAGCCCCTAAAATTACCATTTTAAAGCACAAGCCCTAATCAGCTCCAGGGATTTGCAGGAAACTCCTCGAAGCTATTGATAGGAACTATTGTTTTGGTGCCAGGATTTTCAATTGGCGGTTATATTAAAAAGGACCAAAGATGACAGTTGATATTTCAAACTGGAACCAATGTCCCATAGCAGAAAGCTTGCTGGGCCAGTGCATTTTGGGGTTGGTTACTGAGCTTGGAGACCCCCTGGGCTGGAGGACACACTTTTGGCTGATTCAAGGGGCTTCTGAGGAGCGTCAAAATGTGTACTCTGTGTTCTTGCACCATGGCTGTTAGATTGTGAGACTCTGTCCTTGGCAGGAAATGGTAAAGGAATCAGCAGGAAGCCTAAAACAAGGGAAAGGAAACTCCTCCCTCCTATCAAAGGCCAGGCAAGGGCGAGGATGAAAACTGAAAATGGGGCACGTGTAATTAAGCCATCTGGGGGAGCGGTGGGGACAGACATGTTGAAATGGAGAGTGGTTGAATCTTGTAAGGAAGTAAGGAAAATGTATATCTCAAGGGCAAGGATGGATGATAGGCTTGTATTTATTGTATAACTTTAATATGGAGCCTTAGTCCTCCATTAACCTGCACCATGCCCAGGGAAAATGCTGTTCCTTTATTTACAGGAGGCAGAGGTTTGTGTTGTTTTCTGAGGTCCAGCAGCTCACTGTGAGAAAAACCTCTCCCTCGTTCCTGATTTCTAGCTTATTCAAGGCCAGATGACCCAAAAGTCAAGTTGAAAATTTTGACTAGGAGAATCGATAAAAGTAGAAATGGAATCTAATCATAAGAAATGCTCAATGTGAAGGAGAGAGAAATGCAAAGAATTTTTCTGGTTTTTTTTTTGTGTGGTGTTGTTTGTGTGTTTGTTTTTTGGAGACTGAGTCTTGCTTTGTTGCTCAGGCTGGAGTGCATTGGTGTGATCTTGGCTCACTGCAACCTCCGCCTCCCAGGTTCAAGCAATACTCTTTCCTCAGCCTCCCGAGTAGCTGGGACTACAGGCGCAGGCCACCACACCATATTGCCAGGCTGGTCTGGAACTCCTGAGCTCAGGCAATCCACCTGCCTTGGCCTCCCAAAGTGCTGGGATTACAGGTATAAGGCACTGTGCCCAGCTGAATTTTTCTGTTTTACCATGGTCTTTGTAACTGAAAATCCCATGTTCTTGAGATAGAAAGAGAGAGAGCCAATGATCCAATGCAAGAAACCGAGTTCAAGAAGAAACTGTTCATCTGAAAGCCGACAACTCATTCTTGAAGGTTAGAGCTCAGCTTTGAAGTTTCAATTCACGAGCCTGGCTCAGTGAGGTATGCTACTCCCCGGTGAGAAAGAAAATGAAGACAACATTTTATGTTGAAAGTGCTCAGTGATGAAAAGGCAGCACCTAGGTCCCTTATCTCATCAGAAATGCAGCAGATTCTTAATATTAGCAATTTCATGTTTAGATTGTTACCTGAAGAAAGGAAAAATGAACTGTCCCGCATGCTGATTCTGCTGTGGGGGAAAAAATGTCTAACAGGCAAGTGGCAAACAACAAAACTTCTGAAGAAGCAGGCCTGGGGGCAATCCAGTATAGTTTCATAATGGTATGAATAGTTATTTTACTGTGTTTTTTCCCCCTTTTTTTCTGGGTTTTGATGTGAATCTCTTCCTATTTGTTCAGGAAATTATGACGTGTGTTCTGGGCAGGGTTTGAGGTTTCGGAACCTTTTCTAAAAGGGACAGAGAGCACCCTGCTACATTTCCTAATCAAGAAGTTGGTGTGCAGCCGGGAAAGCTGAACGGAGTTGGTCATGATGCAGAAGCTATTCAAATGCAGTCGGCTCGTCCTGGCTCTTGCCCTCATCCTGGTTCTGGAATCCTCAGTTCAAGGTAAGACTCAGGAGTCTTGTTCCCCAGCCATCTTCTCTGTAAGCCCCAGAGACCATACAAGTCATTATATTCATTTTAAGGCACAGAATATATAATATTATAGGATAGGAGGCAAAGAAGAAGGATTTGGGGTGGCTGAACCCTTTAATATGAATTCAGTGAAGTTTGGTACCAAGAAAAATCAAACTCTGAGGCACGCACAGTCTTGTAAACTCTTACAATGATTGAAATGTGCTAATTTATTTTGGGATGAAAGTATGAGGTTTATAAATTTTGAAAGCTCAAAAAAGGAATCTAGAAAGTGACTCCTGTGTCTGTTGCGTGGAGGAGATGGGACCTTTGAGCGTTTGTGGGTTTCTGCCTGACCCTCAGTGTCTACATCAGTCCCAAGTTTTAGTGCACTGTGACGGTGTCATTGTTATTTTAACACTGGGAGATGTTATATTTCAACTGGGGTGAATTTGACTGTGTGTTTTTTTTTTCTTGTTTTTTAAGATAAACTTGGTTCTTACTGAAAACTCAATTATGGTTAGACATAGTTAATGCAAACCCTCTCAGATTTTGAAGAGAAGGCCACAGAATGTGGTATTTGTGCTGCTGGTCACAGAAACATCATATTCGGAAATATCTTCCTAGGTTTATCTATCATTTAGTGTTGTTTAGTCAGACTGAAACAAAACCTCTAATGACTAAGACAACAAAAATGATCAGTTTGTAAGAAAAATACAATTTGTTCTCCTTTGATAAATAAGGAATCATGTCGAAATAAGAAAGAGGTCATGGCCTGATAGAGAGATGGCAGAACTTAGAGCAGAAAAACACTAGGTTCCCCCAAATGGTAAGGGAAATGTTGAGTCACAATGACACACATGTCCTAGATTTGTTTTGTCAAAGCAACTTTTGGTTGTCACAATGTAGAGATGAAATCTTACAGATGATCGCAGAGACATTCATTTTATGTTGGAAATTTATAAAATCTCATTTTCTTCTAAATGTTAATACTGAAAAAAGAGCAAGTAATGTTGCTGGGACTTTATTAACCTATGTATTTTTAAAATATAAAACACTGTCAATTGTAGGGAACAGACTTCACTTGGATCACTTAGGGAATATCTTCAGCTTGATGAAATAATTCCCTGAGAACAATGTGGTCTGACAAGATCAAGAGCAATGAGGTCATACTTTAATACAGTCTTGATTGGCTAGGTGGGGCTGGGCATACCACAACCAGAGATACGTAAGTCTGTAAGTTTCCAAAATTTCTCAGAAACATGAATTTCCTGCTAAGATTCATTAAGGAAAACTAGAATGAAAACAACAATGTTCCTTGTACAGTATTCATTAGAAAGAAATGAAGAAAAAAATAATTCGTCGTGAAATTGTATAGAATACTAGCATATACATCATGACCTCATAGGTTTAGCTGTTTGTTAGAAAAGGAAACCATAGAAAGAGACATGGGAGAAACTGACAAACTTGGGTGTTTCCAAAAAAAGACTCTTGGTATCGGCTCAAGGGCTTGTGCCCACATCTGAGTGCGCAGGGAAATAGATGTTCCCCCATGGCTGCATGTGTGAGTGACTGCCACGCGAGGCTGTGAGGTGAAGAGTCATGACACTATTTCCTCACACCTCCACACAATGCCAGATGTGATTCAACAACATTCTTCCCGTCTTATAAAAGGTGTTTATGTAGCCCCTTGGTTTGGCTGATCAAATCAACTAGGCTTTTGGCTGGCTTATACTGAACACACTCAAAACCATTTCAGATTACTATAGTAGGTTGCTCGGGCTGCCGTAACAAAATGCCGCAGACTGGGTGGCTTAAACAACAGAATTTTTTTTTTTTCCCCAAGTTCTGGAGTTGGGAGTCCAAGATCAAGGTGCTGGCAGGGTTGGTTGCATTCTGAGGCCTCTCTCCTTGGCTTGTAGATGGCACCTACTCCCTTGTCTGCACATGGCTTTCCTTCCAGGCATCTGTGTCTTAATACCATCTTTTCGTAAGGTCACCAGTCATTGGATTAGGGCCACCCTAATGACCTCATCTTAACTATATGTGCAATGACCCTATTTCCAAATAATTTCACACTGTGAGATTCTGTGGGTTAGAACTTCAACATCTGAATTTGGTGGTGGTATATTTTTACTGTAAGTCACACCCAAGTAAAGACATGGGGTAAAATTGTGTCTACCCAGCACAAAGACATGGTAATTTGGGGATGTGTGGGTAACCCTGGAGAGCACAGATGGCTAATCTATTTAGAGCTCCAGGGGACTTGATGAGGCTCGTGAATCTTACACTCTTATTGCTTCTCTTTTCCAATGACACCCATAAAGAGAAAAAAATGGGATATCCATAAACAGGTGCAGCCAAGGGAGCCAGGTTCTCCGTGTGTCCACTGTCCACTGTCTCCTAGCTCACAGAACGATATTGATCCACTCATTGTGCTGCCGTTTGTAAAGTGATTTCACATCTATTCTCTGATAATCGTCATCACATTCCCTGTGAGGGGGAATTAGCACCAGAAAACTGGATCTGACATTTGTCATCTTATTTCTCTATACATCAACGTCTTGCAAAAAATTTGTGAATCTTGCCCAAGACCCATTACAACTAATTAACGGCTGAACTGGTCATCTGATTTCAGAGTCAGAGTTGACTTTCTATTGCAGCTCATGGATTAGAGGTTTTCTTTATTTAAACAAACAAAAAGTTCTTTGACTGTAGCCCTTGCTATACCGTTTCCTACTGAGCTGAGGGAGAAATTGAAAGTAAATTTAGGAGCTTTTTATAGCTTGTCAAACTGTGCAAGAGTGGGCGAAGCTTATCCATCTTGCGGAATTGATAGAGCAGGAGGAAGTAACTCTGGCTTAGATAACGCTACCATTTTGAATGAATCAAATGGTCTTTACCCCTTCACAGTAGTTGCTGCTTAAGTTTCTCTAACATGCCTGCAGTAAAGTTATATTAAGAACAGGAAATTAGGCTGGGTACGGTGGCTCACGTCTGTAGTCCTAACACTTTGGGAGACTCAGGTGGGTGGGTCACTTGAGGTCAGGAGTTCAAGACCAGCCTGGCCAACATGGTGAAGCCTTGACTCTGCTAAAAATACAAAAATTAGCCAGGCATGGTGGCATGTATCTGTAATCCCAACTATTCAGGAGGCTGAGGCAGGAGAATCACTTGAACCAGGAGGTAGAGATTGCAGTGAGCCTAGATCACCCTACTGCACTCCAGGCTGGGCGCTAGACTGAGACTCCATCAAGAAAGAAGGAAGGAAGGAAGGAAAGGAAAGAGAGAGAGAAAAAAAAGGAAAAAAAGAAGGAAGGAAGGAGAGAGAAAGAAAGAGAAAAAGAGAAAGAGAGAGAAAGAAAAAGAAAGAAAAATTGGTACATGGTGATTATGTATGTCGGGGGAAACGTTAGTATGATAACATAAAAAGGTGTGGACTACTCAAGAAAGTTGTTTGCTCTGGTGACATTTACTCATAGAAATTATTTTGGTAAAGCAGGACTTGGGGTATTGGGGGAGCTGGGCAGTGAGGGATGGGATTCAAATAAAAACCGTTCTTTCCCTTGGAATCCACTACACAATTAACCAAGAAATCCCATAAGTGGGTCTTTTAGGAAGATAACATTTCTGTCCAGGAGCATACCCACTATAATCACAAGACATTTATCTTAAGCAAGATAGAGTCAAGATACTCTCACAACCTCAGGGGCTGGAACTGTAAAATTTCACATCCTGCCAACACCCTTAAATAGCCATGTCAAGAATTTAGTGTCAGTGGGCCGGGCGCGGTGGCTCAAGCCTGTAATCCCAGCACTTTGGGAGGCCGAGGCGGGTGGATCACGAGGTCAAGAGATCGAGACCATCCTGATCAACATGGTGAAACCCCGTCTCTACTAAAAATACAAAAAATCAGCTGGGCATGGTGGCGCATGCCTGTAATCCCAGCTACTCAGGAGGCTGAGGCAGGAGAATTGCCTGAACCCGGGAGGCGGAGGTTGTGGTGAGCCGAGATCGCGCCATTGCACTCCAGCCTGGGCAACAAGAGCGAAACTCCATCTCAAAAAAAAAAAAAGAATTTAGTGTCTGTAACTTGTTCTTTCTTTTAAAGTACGTTTAACATCATTGGACCCAAGTTTGGAGAGGGAGACCTTCTACTTTTGATTTCTTTATAAAATATTTAAATAGCTTTGTTGAGATAGTGTCTACATACCATACAATGGTATGTAAATACCCATTAAAGGTGTTCAATGATTAGGCCAGGCATGGTGGGTCATGCCTGTAATTCTAGCACTTTGGGAGGCCAAGGCAGGTGGATCACTTCAGGTCAGGAGTTGAGACCAGCCTGGCCAACATGGCAAGAACTTGTCTCTACTAAAAATACAAAAATTAGCTGGGTGTGGTGGCGTACACCTGTAATTCCCCAGCTACTCGGGAGGTTGAGGCAGGAGCATCTGTTGAGCCTGGGAGGCGGAGATTGCAGTGAGCTGAATCCTGCCACTGCACTCCAGCCTGGAGACAGAGCAAGACTCTGTCTCTAAAAAGGAAAAAAAAAAAAAAGAAAAGAAAAGAATGCAAAATATCCCATTAATAACTTTTATATTGATATGTTAAAGGATAATATTTTGAATATATCAGATTAAATAAAATGTATTAAAATTAATTTCACCTGTTTCTTTTTACTTTTAAAAATATGGCCGCTAGAATATTTAAAACTCTATGTGGTTTCCTTTATGTTTCTATTGGAAAGAGCTGGTCTAGACAGCATAAGGTGTGAAGACACCGCCCTCTGCTGGAAGAGAGGCTGGATTTTTATTTCACCTACAGGGAGAGACGTCTAAGTAGCAAGTAGATGCCAAACTAATGCTGCCTCAGGAAAGAATCAAAAAAGGAGAAAGAAACAGCGAAATCAGGCCGGGCGCGGTGGCTCATGCCTGTAATTCCAGCTCTTTGGGAGGCCAACACGGGCGGATCACTTGAGGTCAGGAGTTTGACACAAGCCTGGCCAACATGGTGAAACCCCATCTCTACTAAAAATACAAAAAATTAGCCGGGAGTGGTGATGGGCCCCTGTAATCCCAGCTACTTGGGATTCTCAGGCAGAAGAATCACTTGAACCTGGGAAGTGGAGGTTGCAGTGAGCCAAGATGGGGCCCCTGTACTCTAGCCTGGGCAACAGAGTGAGACTCCATCTCAAAAAAAAAAAAAAAAAAAAAAAAAAAAAAGACCATAAATTGAGAATCCTAGAGATACTAAATGGTAGAATGGGAATTTGAATTTAAATTTATAAATTGTTCACTATAGAGATCATAGGTCATTGTTGTCCTCCTTTTTCTCATGAGAAAACTAGCAATGAAGAACTCTGACTATGTGCTAGGTCCTATTCTGAGACCCTAACATTTGTATCTCATTATTAGATCTATTACTTCCCATCCTACAGACGAGAAAATTGAGGCGCAGGGAAGTTAAGTTGGCCAAGATCACACAGCCAGTAAGGGGCAGACATTGAAAGGTCATTTTGCCTGCCTTATCCCCAGCCTCGAGGCAGTGGCAGACCTAACTCACTTTGGACAACCAGCTGTCCCAGACCAGACATCGTCAGCTATACTCAGGAATCACAGGAAAGATTATGATAAAATAATATATAGTTCCAAAGAAAAGAAAGAAAATCCAGTAGGAGAATATTTACTAGACTTTTAATGTTTATATTTTTAGAGAAATATTGTTTATTACAGCAATTTAGAAAACAAAGCGAGAAAAAAAATCACCAAAGACTCTACCACCATAGTTATTTTTGTGTATTTCCTTCCATTTTCCCCCAATATCGGTTGATATAGTTGAAACTGTTATGCACACAAAGCGGTATTCTGATTTTCTCACTCGTTTTATTTATTTATTTATTTATTATTATTATTTTTGAGACGGAGTCTCGTCCTGTTGCCAGGCTGGAGTGCATTGGTACAATCTCGAATCACTGCAACCTCTGCCTCTTGGGTTCAAGTGATTCTCCTGCCTCAGCCTCCCAAGTAGCTGGGACTACAGGCACCCGCCACCATGCCCAGCTAATTTTTCTATTTTTAGTAAAGACAGGGTTTCACCATGTTGGCCAGGATGGTCTCCATCTCTTGACCTTATGATCCGCCCGCTTCCCAGTGCTGGGATTACAGGTATAAGCCACTGTCCCTGGCCTTATTTATTTTTAATTTTGTAAATTAATTTTTTCTTCTGAGACAGTTTAACTCTGTTACCCAGGCTGGAGTGCAGTGGTGCAACCTTGGCTCACTGTGACCTCCTGGGCTCAAGGAATCCTCCTGCCTCAGCCTCCTGAGTAGCTGGGACTACAGGTCTGTGCCACCACATCCAGCTAAAATTTTTTAAATCTTTTTTTTTTTTTTTCTGTAGAAATGGGAGTCTCTTTATGTTGCCCAGCCTGGTCTTGAACTCCTGGGCTCAAGTGATCCTCCCACCTTGGTCTCCCAAAGTGCTGGGATTTCAGACACGAGCCACTGCACCCAGGCTAATTTTTACTTTTATTTTATTAAAAAAAAATTATTGCCCTACCCCCGCAACTCGTTTTTAAGTATAGGTTTTTCTACAATGCCACATTGTCTTTTCCATAAAAAGTACTTTTGGCCAGGTATAGTGGCTCATGCCTGTAATCCCAGCACTTTGGGAAGCCAAGGTGGGTGGATCATCTGAGGTCAGGAGTTCGAGACCAGCCTGGCCAACATGGTGAAACCCCGTCTCTACTAAAAATACAAAAATTAGCTGGGTGTGATGGTGAGCACCTGTAATCCCAGCTATGCAGGAGGCTGAGGCAGGAGAATCACTTGAACCCAGGAGGTGGAGGTTGCAGTGAGCTGAGATCATGCCACCACACTCCAGTCTGGGCAACAAGAGCAAAATTCCATCTTAAAAAAAAAAAAAAGTACTTTTTTACTATTTGGTTACTATTCTCTTATCAGTGGATTTCTTGTAATTTATCTGAGCATTTTCCATTATTTTGTGCTGGGCTTTAAAACCACCCTTCCTGCCTTTCAAAAACCCTAGACATGCCCTTTCTTGCTAGGTAATTATTAGTTGCACTTGTTAGAATAATCATATACTTGGAGTGGGGAGGAGATTAACCTTTTGAAGGGTGGTGACTTATTTCTCACCATTAGGCCTTTGTCCTTGCTAAATTGAAGAAGGAAGATTTTATTTTATTAGCTAATAAAGAACCTCCTTTATAGGCTGGGTATGGTGGCTCATGCCTGTAACCCTAGCACTTTCAGAGGCCAAGGCAGCTGGATTGCCTGAGCTCAGGAGTTTGAGACCAGCCTGAGCAACATGGTGAAACCCCATCTCTACTAAAAGTACAAAAAATTAGCTGGGTGTGGTGGCAAGAGCCTGTAATCCTAGACACTTGGGAGGCTGAGGCAGGAGAATTGCTTGAACCCAGAAGGCAGAGGTTGCCATGAGCTGAGATCGAGCCACTACACTCCAGCCTGGGCAAGAAAGCAAAACTCTGTCTCAAAAAAATAAAATAAAAAATAAATCTCCTATATAACCTCATGACATCAGATTTGGAGTCTTTTCCATAGAGATGAAATTCAGAAAAAGCTGAGACTCAGATAGTCCAAGCTGCCTGACCCTCTGTGAATAGAGGGGACTTGTTCTTTTGAAATCTGAGTGCAAAGACACAGGACAATTTGTTATCTACTTTTCATTCCTAAGGATACTGTATGGAATTAAAACACAAGAACTAGAATTCTGTAATACCACGAGTACTACACAGTGTGTTTCTTCCCCTTTTGGAACCTGATTTGATTCATCCCTACAAAAAGATGTGGACATTGGGGCCAAATGTGCGTTGGAATCCTGAATTCTTGACTTAGCGCCTGTGTGGCTGCAATTTTCTTTTGTGTAAAATTGAGATAGTAGTACAAAAGTAACAACAGTTAATATTATCTAGCGTTTACTGCGTGCCTGGCACTGTGTTAAATTCCTTATGTGCATTTGCTGATTTAATTTTTGTGATAGGCGTATGACACTATTAGTTCTTCCTATTACAGTGAGGGTTCACAGAAATTAAGGTTTCACAACTGGTCAGCAGAGATGGGACTTCACTCCAGTAGCTGATTCCAAAGCCTATTCTTCTACTTTTTGGAGAAGGACAATTTATATAAAAGGTTGGCACATAGTGGGTGCTGCTGTTATATAAATGGGCATAAAATCTGTCTACATTTTGCCTTTTATTTAGAATCTATTTAGTTAAAACCTTCTTAGGGCAGGCCAGGTGCAGTGGCTCATGCCTGTAATCTCAGCACTTTGGGAGGCCAAGGCAGGAGGATTGCTTGAGCCCAGGCATTTGAGACCAGCCTGGGCACATAGTGAGACTCCATTGCTACAAAAAAAAAAATTAGCTGGGTGCGGTGGTGCACCTGTAGTCCCAGCTGGCTGGGGAAGGGGGATGACTTGAGCCCAGGAATTCAAGGTTACACCGAGCTATGACCACAGCACTGCACTCCAGCTTGGGCAGCAGAGTAAGACCCTGTCTTGAAAAATAAAAAAATAAAAACTTCTTAGGACAGAGCGATTAGAAGCTGTGTAGTAGATACTTAGTAACAGTGTGGGTTCCTTGTTGGGCAGGTTACCCTATGCAGAGAGCCAGGTACCAGTGGGTGCGCTGCAGTCCCGACAGTAATTCTGCAAACTGCATTGAAGAGAAAGGACCAATGTTCGACCTACTTCCAAGTGAATCGAACAACATCCCTCATCTGAGGACTGACCCTTTTCCGTAAGTAGACTTTTCTCTAACTAAAAAAAAATTTTTTTTTTTGTACAAACAGTGGTCTCTGTATGTTTCCCAGGCTGGTCACGTACTCCTAAGCTCAAGCAGTCCTCCCACCTTGCCCTCCCAAAGTGCTGGATTACAGGCATGAGCCACCATTCCCAGCCCTGGTGACTTTCTCCATCACTGGTATTCACTGCATTAGTGATTACACCATCACAATCTTCAATATGCAACTCTACAGTCCTTCTCCTGCATTCTTACTTTAAGGTGGCAGCATTAAGTTTGAATGTAAAATTACAACCTCCTCCATTACTTTAAGTCATTGGTTTCAATAGTAATTCATTTAAATCTAAAATGTTAGGGCGCAGTAATATTAGGGCTCATGCCTGTAATCCAACCAGTTTGGGAGACTGAGGTGGGAGGATCACTTGAGACCAAGAATTTGAGACCAGCCTGGGCAACACAGCAAGACCCCATCTTTATTTAAAAATTACTGGCTGGGCATCATTGCTCACACCTGTAATCCCAACACTTTGAGAGGCTGAGGCAGATTGCTTAAGGTCGGGGGTTCAAGACCAGCCTGGCCAACTTGGCAAAACCCATTTCTACTGAAAATACAAAAATTAGGTGGGCATGGTGGCATGCCTGTAATCCCAGCTACTCAGGAGGCTGAGGCAGGAGAATCACTTGAAGCTAGGAGGTGGAGGTTGCGGTTAGCCCAGATCATGCCACAGCACTCCAGCCTGAGTGACAGAGAGACTCTGTCTCAAAAAAAAAAAAAAAAAATTAGAAATTAGGCCAGGAGCAGTGGCTCACGGCACCTTGGGAGGCCGAGGCAGGTGGATTGCTTGAGTCCAGAAGTTTGAGACTGGCCTGGGTGACATGGAGAAACCCTGTCTCTACAGAAAAAGACAAAAATTAGCCAGGCTTGGAGAAGCCTCATCTCTACAGAAAAATACAAAAATGAACCATGAATGCCTGTGGTCCCAGCTACTCGGGAGGCTGAGGTGGGAAGATTGCTTGATCCTGAGAGGTAAAGGCTGAAGTGAGCCATGGTGTGGCACTGCACTCCAGCCGGGGTGACAGAGTAAGACCTTGTCTCAAAATAAATAAATACATTTTAAATAAATAAATACAATTAAAACTAAAATTAAAAAATAAAATGTGAAGGGAGTAGCTCAAATTCTCCAAAAGAACTCTTGCACGCCATTCCTCCTCTCCTCAAATCTCTATTTTCCTTCCCCAAAGCCATGACTTTGCTTCTCACCCTGACCCTGTGCCTTCCCTCCTGTCACTGCAGAAGAATGGTCCCTGCTTCTGTGTGGATCCCAAGCCCTTTTGCCCTCAGATCCTCCTGTCCTTCCTTCCCTGGCCCTGCTCTGTATTGGCTGTAGGGTGGGGGTGAAACTGACCCCTTGGATCCGCATTTCTCAGGCTCCCAGGGTTGTGGCTGACGTTGGCCAATGGGAGGCAAGGAAGGGAGTTTGGAGAGCTTGGGAGGAAGGGAGAGACGCATATTTCTTCTCCTTATTCCCTGCCTTGGGTGCCCCCTCGGGCAGGACTGTGTCTCTCCCATGGCCTCAGCTCCCACCAGATGCCTCTAGTCCCTGGGCTCAGGAAATACACAAGCTTCTTCCATTATCCCTGCAGCCCAGGGAGGGAAGTATTTTCTTTCTTTCTTTTTTTTGAGAGAGCCTCGCTCTCATTGTCCAGGCTGGAGTACAGTGGTGTGATCTCAGCTCATTGCAACCTCTGCCTCCTGGGTTCAAGTGATTCTCTTGCCTCAGCCTCCCGAGTGCTGGGATTACAGGCATGCCACCATGCCCAGCTAATTTTTGTATTTTTAGTAGCAACAGGGTTTTGCCATGTTAGCCAGGCTGGTCTCGAACTCCTGACCTCAAGTGATCCCCCTGCCTTGGCCTCCCAAAATGCTGGGATTGTAGGCGTGAGCCACCGTGCACCTGGCTGAGGGAAATATTTTCTTGCTGTTGTTAATCTCTGGGTTACCTCGCTGTCCCCCGTTTGGCTTCACCTCTCTTCCATCACCTATATGAGGAATTTCCTCTGTGTTAAATGTCTGGAGAAGTTTCCTGATTGGCCCTGACTGTTGCAGCTTCTAAGGCCACCTCTCTTTGTGGCTGGTGTCCTGTTCCCATGCACCTTTTCCAGGAATTCCATTCTGCAGTTATCTCTCTGAACCCAGTGTCTTCTTCCCATCAATATGGTAGCGGACTTTAGTATCCCCTATGTTTAGGCAACATCTGTCTTTTGTTTTTGCATCCTCTCCAGTGGTTGCCCTTCTCTGCTCTTCTTCACAGTAACACCTCCTGAAAGGGCCGCCTTTCTGCCCCCTCCTCTCCTCACCCCCCTGCGGCTGGACTTCTGTTCCTACACTCCAGGCTGGTTGACACAGTCACTGGTTACTTTGTTATTTTCAGCTTAGTTGACCCTTAGTTGCCTTCAAAAACAGCTGACTGGGACATGCATGTACTCCCAGCACGTTGAGAGGCCAAGGCAGGAGGATCACTTGAGCCCAGGAGTTCAAGGCCAGCCTGGGCACCATAGTGAGACCCTATCTACAAAAAGTAGAAAAATTAGCTGGGAGTAGTGGCTCATGCCTGTGGTCTCATCTACAAAGGAGGCTGAGGTGGGAGGATTGCTTGAGTCCAGGAGGGTGAAGCTGCAGTGAGCCATGATCATGCCAGTGCACTCCAGCCTGCACAACAGAAGGAGAACCTGTCTTAAAAAAAAAAAAAAAATAGTTCGACCACCCCTCCCTTGAAATGTTTTTTAATCTGGGCTTCCATGCCCTGTCTTATCCTGTTTCTTCTCTGATTGTTCTTTTTCCTCTGCTCAATATTTAATATATTGGTGTGAGCCTGGCCCTGTCCTGGCCCCCGTTCTCTATCTACATGTTTTCTCTAGGTGATCTCCATCGGTTCTGTGGGTTTAACTACCAAATCTGTGTTTCCGACTCTGACACTCCAGGCTAAAGTAACCTCCTGGTCACTTTCTGTTACATTAGTCAATTTCTTTTCTCTGTACCACCTTTGATTTTCTTGATTTATTTATTCACTTTTTACTGTCTGTCTTTCCCACTAAGTTAAAAACTTCTTGAGCAGGGATTCATCTATCTGCTTCTGTTCTATCCCAGGCGCTCAGGACAAGGACCGGATGTTCACCAAGTATTTATTGAATGCATACGTGAATAAAAACTCTAATCAGTTATCTGCTGGTTTATTATTTTTGTGGAGAAAATGACTTATAGGCTGTGACACTTAGCTTTTGTTTCTGATGCTTTGTTGCCCTGTTCTGTCACTGAGGCTGTCACCATTGCTTTGTGCTCTTTGAATTTCTAACCATCACACTCAATCCAGAAGGAAGCCTTATCTTTCAGCACCCTTCGGCTGAAAGAATGCAGGTTGGAGGCAGGGTCATTTTTGTACAGGAAATTGAATGTTTATATGCTGGTACATATAAAACTTAGCTTTTTACAAAGAATTTCTCAAAGCGAGCTTTGTTGAAGTACAGTAAATTATTAGAACTTTCATGGAAATTTTAGTAAAAAATGTCATTCTCTCTGGGCTTGGTTTTTTGTCCCTTCTTTTGGGGAGGTTGGGGTGGGGGATGGAATTTTGCTCTTGTGGCCCAGGCTGGAGTGCAGTGGCGCCATCTCGGTTCATTGCAACCTCCACCTCCCAGGTTCAAGCGATTCTTCCGATTCTTCCGTTTCAGCCTCTTGAGGCATGAACCACCACGCCTGGCTAATTTTTGTATTTTTTGTAGAAACGGGATTTCACCATGTTGGCTAGGCTGGTCTAGAATCCCTGACCTCAGTTGACCCACCCACCTCGGCCTCCTGAAGTGCTGGGATTACAGGCGTGAGCCACCGCGCCCAGCGGTTTGTCCTTTCTTTAGAGAGAAAGAGGTCTTTTTCTGAGACACTCTTGCTCTGTTGCCCAGGCTGGAGTGCAACGTTTCGATCTTGGCTCACTGCAACCTCCGTCTCCTGGGTTCAAGTGATTCTCTCACCTCAGCCTTCTGAGTAGCTGGGATTATAGGCATGCACCACCACGTTGGGCCAAGAAGTCTTCTTTTAAAAACGATTTCTTAAGTAAATTTCAAATATACAATTTATATGCTAGTGAAAACAAATTAACACTGTTTATGCAAGTCTACAATAGGTAGATATGGAGTTGACAGATGCAATAAGTATAGGCAAACACATAGGAACATTTGACCTGGGGTTTTTTTGTTTGTTTGTTTTAAAACATTGAACAGAGGCTGGGCGTGGTGGCTCATGCCTGAAATCCCAGCACTTTGGGAGGCTGAAATGGGTGGATCACCTGAGGTCAGGAGTTTGAGACTAGCCTGGCCAACATGGAGAAACCCCAACTCTTAAAAAATAAAAAAAATTTAAAAAGTAAAAAAAAAACATTGAATAATTGGAAAGCTTTTAACTCTCTTAATTTGAGCAACTGACTGGCTGTATTTATTTCCTTATCTTAAAAAATAACTATTATAATTATCTTTCCCACATATCAAACTTTACTGATTTTTTCCCATTTTTCTTTCATACTTCAGAAAGACAAGATTCCAGGACTTGAATCGGATCTTCCCGCTTTCTGAGGACAATTCTGGATCAGGCTCCGGCTCCGGGTCGGGATCCGGGTCAGGGTCCGGGAACGACTTCCTAACTGAAATGGAACAGGAGTACCAACTAGTACATGAACGTGATGCTTTCCATGACAACCTTATGTCTCTGGACAGGAATCTGCCCTCAGACAGCCAGGACTTGGGTCAACTTGGATCAGAAGAGGATTTTACAATATAAAAGAGAATTTTCCCACCTTGACACCAGGCAGTGTATTCAGCATATTTTGTGTACCATGGTTAATGATTGCCATTAAATGGTTAATCTTGGGACAAAAAATTTTATAGAAGTTTTTAAACATCTGTAAAAGAAGCTTAAGTTTTATCATCCTTTTTTTCTCATGAATTCTTAAAGGATTATGCCTTAATGCTGTTATCTAACTCATTGTTCTTGAAAATACCTGCATTTTTTGGTATCATATTGAACCAACATCATCATGAAATTAGATTTCCATGGCCATAAAATGGCATTAAAAATAAATTATATTTTAAAAAATAGTTTGATTAGCAAATTGGCAGGCAGTATTTCATACTTAAGAATCTGACTTGGATTGTGAATTATAGATATGCCCTTTACTGATAAAAACAAATTAAAAAACATAATGAAACACAGTGAATTTGTACAGTGGGGGTGTTTGACAGATTTTACAGTGTGAAGTATACTATTACTTTTGAATGTGTTTGCAGAGCTGGTGGACATGTTTATCTACAAGTATGATTGCTGTTATGTAACACCCAAAACTAACTCCCAAATTAAAGCACAGTTGTGCTCTCAATACCTCATAGTGCTTTATCTTTTTTTCCTGGATATCTGTGTATTTTCAGATGTTGCTATATTAAAGCAGATATATAACCAAAGGATAAGCTGTCTCAGATCTCTTGTTCTAAACACAAGAAACAGTTATTTTGGCCAGACATTTCTCTAGAAGTCTTAACAACAAAACAACTTTAAACTTATTCTACAGTAAACACACATTTTGTAATCAGAATCAAATCATACTAACTAGCAGATGAAGAAAGCAATTATGCCTTAGCAAGAGGGTTATATGTCTCAAAGCATTTCCTCACCTGAAAGATAGTTCCATCTCTGTTCCCCTTAGCTCCGAAAAGCCCCCCCAGCATCACCGTCATGGACTCTGTTCTGCACTATTCAGGTCTCTACTTAAGAACTGAGGACTTACTCAAATTAGCCTCTGCTGGAGACAGCCACCTTTCCCAAGGTCATGCTGCTTTGTAGGGCAGCCCGCATCCTGTGACTGGCTGATGTGGGCATATCAAGGCCTGAACTCAGAAGGGTCATATAGATTCAAAACTTCCCACAGGGTCAGCTCAGGTTTTGCTGGGACTATTTTGTAACTCAATTTCTTCTTCACTCAGTTTTACTTCCTTCCATTCCCCTCACAGGTGTCTATCCTGAGAGTGTTCCCTTAGAAATTTTCTGCCAGTTTCCATCACAGAATTTGCTTTCTGGAGAAAACAATTTGTGACAGGTTGTGCTGGGAGGGATAGGAAATGGATGCTAAGATGGGATTTTGGAGCTAGATTGCCTGCTGCTGGCTGGCGATGAGGACTCCATCCTTGTCTGTAGATGACCAGAGGCACAGGATAGTAGTGCGATTGTTAAAACTTTCACTGAGGAGGAACTGAGATGGTATACCAGTGGAAGGGAGTGCACCAGGGTGTGATATACTAGGCATCTGAGAAATGCTGGCAAGTAGCAATATAAAGACAATGGTATTGGTTGGCTGTTGCTGGACTTAATTAATGCTTTTGAAAAAGACAATGAAAGGCTAAGGATGATGAATTAAAGGCTAAATGTGAAAACCAGTAGGCCTCCTTGGCAGCATATTAAGAAACTCTGTTCTGTAGTAGGACTGAAAACCTGAGGACCAGGCCCAGGACTTATGAGAACAGCAGACGGTTGGGCGCCATGGCTCATGCCTGTAATCCCAATACTTTGGTAGGCTGAGGCGGGTCAGTCACCTGAGGTCAGGAGTTCGAGACCAGCCTGACCAACATGGCAAAACCCCGTCTCTACTGAAAATACAAAAATTAGCTGGGCATGGTGGCGGGCATCTGTAATCCTAGCTACTCAGGAAGCTGAAGCAGGAGAATCGCTTGAACCTAGGGGCCAGAGTTTGCAGTGAGCCAAGATCACATCACTGCACTCCAGCCTGGGCAACAGAGCA